CGGATGTGCATTCTATGACCCTTTTAAGGTGTAATAAACTGGCACATCATCAACGATAATTATCATAACAGAACCAAATCAATCATGTTTTCAAAATGTTTTAGTAAATCATAATTAGGCATCTAAAAAATATTCAAAGCCTTCAGACTCGTACTTGAATTTTTAAATATTCTTTACTTTGTGACGGAGATGTATCCCGACACAGAAATGAACTGCTAATTGTCCGATTCGGCGAACTCTGGGTTTATTTGACTCTTATGTTTTGCGCCTGCAGGGCGGCTGAACTGGTGGACAAAAGTCGTTCCAAACTGTCAGAGTCTGCTGCCGCTGGCAACCAGTGGAGATGGAAACTGCCTGTTACACGCTGCCTCGCTGGGTGAGTCCGAGACCTTTCAGGCTGAGCATCGCTCCGGTTCGCTCACCATTAGCATTCATCAGCAGAGCTCCACTGTTGACTGAAGGACTAATTGCACTGTTGCTGTGCTCATTCGCTTACCCTCTGTGGCTCTCTGAGGAGTGCTTGTTTAGAGAAATTAATAAGGCCACAGCGGACCTGCTTCTGTTCACTGGCTTAATGTCTCACCTCTAAAGCATAAATGCTGATCTATCTTTTGGGATCTTATCTTTGGAGGAAAAAAAAAACATCAAGAATTATCTTCTAAATTTGATCAAAGCAAAGATTCCCCATTTTTTTATCAGCATTTTATTCATACGGTACGTGTCTGGTTCAGGTATGTGGGGCTTCCACGACCGCGACCTGATGCTGCGGAAGTCTCTGTACGCGCTGATGGATCACGGCCTGGAGAGGGAAGCGCTGAAGCGCAGGTGGAGGTGGCAGCAGACCCAGCAGAACAAAGAGGTCAGTTCCACCGGCTGCTCATTTCTACTCCGCTAACTTCATTAGCCTCCTGGCTGCAGCTAAATTACTTTAACTTTTCCGATCTAATGAAAGCTGTTACTTTATTTCTCCCCCTAAAAGCCAAGCAGCAGTAAAACCTTTGGAACATGAATTCCTCGCTCCTATTTCATTTTATTTCTCAAGCATTTTTTATCTTTACTGTGTGTCAAACCTTCCCAAAGGAACATACAGACTGTGGGCTATAGAGAATGCTCTTTATAACGCTTTATTTCTCACGGAGAGGAGATTAATTAAATGGGTTTTTTTTCCAACTAATTAGGTTCTAAATAACATAAACCTTTTTATCTTGTTCTTCAAATACAAATGCGAAGAAATACTAGTTGATTTTAATTCTGCTTAGAAAATGCAGCTGATTGTCTGATGTCTGGTTGCAGCCGTTAAAGAAGCATGGAAATGTTTTCATCCTGGTTTGATGAAGGAGTTAAAAAAAAGCAACTTTTAAGAACAGAAACGTCCATCTTTAAACGGATTGAGGTCTTAGGGTTAACTCTTGAACAATAGGTCTTTGTTCGTGCGTCAAAACGCCATTTGGAGGAATGCAGAAGCCAGGAATGACATAATTTGGTGAAGCGAACGCGACAGGCATGAATCCGGCTTTAGGGTCAAACTGCACCCCTCCTAGAATGCTGGTAATGTGAGAATGACTCAGTCCTAATGATTGGTCGTTAGTAGGGTTGGGCATCGTTTTTAATTTTAATGATTCTGGTTCTGACTTAGTGTTTCCTTTGAGTATATATTGATTCTATTCTTTTTCTATTCGTTTAAGAAGAAAAAACATTAAACTTTACTTTACTAAAACTAATATTAAACTTCTCAATGAAATAAAACTCCTTGAGCATCTAACTTTATGTGAACATTACTCTAACTGATCACATGGTTATCATAAACCAGTATATTAAAGGCATACTATGCAACATTTTTCAGTTAATTAATGAGTTCCATAACGTTTTGGATGATTAAATGAGTCATTTCAGGTTGAACAAAGGAATTCTCAGCCGCCCTGGTGGTCTGTAGGGGAAATACCGTACTTGCAATTGCAGGAGCCC